TAGGTTTAACCTTTATTTTCCCACCTATCCGCATAAACTGTCCCTCTTTCTGTTACCCTCTAAGTATGTCCTTGTACAGGGTGAGCTTCACCGTAAAAAAAAAAAAAAAAAAAAAAAAAAATTCAGCCGAAGCCTTTTTACAAATTGGTGAACTTCTCGTTATATATGTATGCTTTTCGGTGTTACTTTTATTACTGTTTAAAACATGGCTGCTTGATAAGATTTATGTAATGGCGTAGGAAGAATTCTCAATGCCTGCGACAGATTTGATGCACCGGTACGGAAATATTTTGAATGTTTGTTTTATTACTCATTACACAGTTAATGACAAAGACATAAAGAATTAATTACTGATGTACACAGGTTGTAAATGAATACACACGGCATTGTATCTCACAATAAGAATAAACTATAAAACTAGAACGCTCGAAGTATAAGCTGTTAAGCACTGGGTTAATAGTAATAAAAAACATTCCGGGGATATTTGAGCAGAAGCAAAATTTATTCTTGTAGCGGGAACGAAGGTGAATCAAAACTCTTCAAGTGAACGTGGGGAGCAATTTTCTCTTCTTTTTTTTTCTTTCTCGAGAATGCGCGTTAAAGAAACGGAGAATGTGACAGAGGTTCGAGTTTAAAGCGGGGAATCACGTTTTTTTATTCCTCCGTGGGATCAGTGTCCAAAAATGACTGAAAATCCCCTCGGCATTTCCGCTTTTAGGGACGCCCCACGCACCAGGTAATGACCCGAGTTCCTTTTCGAGATCGAGTTATTGCTCAGAGAGAAGCCTTCTGTAATTTGCGCCTTTCAGGACATGAGGCCGAGGATGAGTGAAAAAAAAAGCGAGAAGAAACGTTAATTATAAGAAGGCAGAATGTGCGGTTGTTGGCAAAAGATGCGAACCACGAAATGGAGGCGCCAAAATCCAGCAAGTCAAAAATTTAAATATCTAGGAAGGGTTTTAACACATGACGGAAAATGTGACACCTAAATCCGAAGTTGTATTGCCACTATGACGCAAGGGGTTACTGGGAGTGAAAGAGAATGAGAAAACTTTAGGAGAAAGGACAATAAAAGAAAAGGTTTCAGGAAGTGAGAAGATGGCGATAATGCTACTAAGACACAAGGGGTTACTAGGAGTGAAAGAGAATGAGAAGACCTTAGTTAGTAGAAAGGACAATAAAAGAACAGATTTCAGGAAGACAAAAGATGACGATCATGCTACTAAGACGAAATGGGTTACTCTGAGTGAAAGAGAATGAGAAGACCTTAGTGAGTAGAAAGGACAATAAAAGAACGGGTTTCATGAAGTGAGAAGATGGCGATAATGCCACTAAGACACAAGGGGTTACTTAGCGTGAAAGCGAATGAGAAGACTTTAGGCGAAGGAACAGGAAACTTAATTCTAAACAGGAAACAGAGGGAGGAGCCTCTACACTTGTTCAACAGACGGAGAAGGAATGTGAACTGGGCGATAGGCAAACCTATCTACTCCTATTAAAGTTGCGCAAAAAAAAAAAAATTTGAGCTTCATGTATGCATCATTTACATATAGCATAAGGCCGAAAGCATGGAGCCCCCAGTGAAAATTGAACTCGCTACTCAGTTGTAAATGTCCTAGCGAGACATGCTTGCTAACCATTACACCACGTCGAGGTGCCCATAAAAAATTCTCTTATATAAATCTCTAGCTTTTAACCTTTTTTACACCGCTGTTCACTCTCCCTCTCTCTCGTTTCCCCTCTCTATTTCTATCTTTCTCTGTCTCTCTCACTCCACCTCCCTTTCTATCTCTATCTCCCTCTCTTTCTCTCTGTGTGCGACAGGTTTGTGTTGACTGTGCTCGCATTTTTACAAAAGATTGGAGGACGGAATGGTAGCCTTATTCATATCGTCGATTTTTAAATTATATTCTCCGTAAAAATTGTACCCGTGTCTGGTGAATATTTTATACTGTGTGACAAGTAAGTACGTGGGAGATATTAATTAAATTTAATAGAAAAGAAAGAAAGAAAGAAAGAAAGAAAGAAAGAAAGAAAGAAAGAAAGAAAGAAAGAAAATAAAAGAAAGAAAGAAAAGAAAAGAAAGAAACAAAAGAAAAGAAAAGAAAAAAGAAAAGAAAAGAAAGAAAGAAAGAAAAGAAAGAAAAGAAAAGAAAGAAAGAAAGAAAGAAAAGAAAAGAAAGAAAGAAATAGATAGTGTAAGTGAACCACCCCAGACTCCGATCTCGACGACCCAGAGTATGTTTTAACCAATCATCCACATTAGCAAAGGCTATCAGTAACCCTATTTAATTTATTTATGTAATAGCTTTGTTATTTGACAGTACTGCATAATCTATCTATCTATCTATCTATCTATCTATCTATCTATCTATCTATCTATCTATCTATCTATACATACATACATACATACATTATATATATATATATATATATATATATATATATATATATATATATATATATATATATAAAAAAAACAGGATGTATGTGTGTGTTTTAACGAATGCACGGCCGCAATTTTCGACGGATTTGCAACAAAGTTTACATGCACATGCTCCAAGTTAATGGGAAGGCCAAGACCGACTTTGCATTTCCCAACTCCCCATCGATAGTGGAAATAATCAATTTTTCATGCTTCTACGGCAGTTTTCATATAGTTTGTTTTAACTGGCCAGAGTGAGAGCCAATAGCTGGCTGCTATTAGGCAGGAAGATTCTATTGGCCAGCGTGAGAGCCAACAGCTGACTGACACGAATGTTAACTAGCATGCAAAAAAAAATCGATAGCCATTCGTCACAAGTGGGAAAATTTAAATCTGCATGGCACTTTTACTCCAATTGGCTCATTCGCTTGCTTAAACTCCACGTTGATTCTGATTCTGCAGAACTGGGTTGTGTGAAAAGTATTTGTTGTTAACATTCTTTTTTTATTCGGTTTTTCCAGTTACGAGTCCTTTTTTTAAAGCTGATCGTTTTGTGTTCATTTTGTTTAGTTCTTTTTTCGTAACAGATTTAATGTTTAGTATAGAGGTTAGAAAAAATTCGCAAGATAGGCAAGAAGTAAGGCATGTAGCAACATCACGGCAAAGGGCACCCTTTAAAAGCAAAAGAAGGGCAAAAATATTTTAAGTGAAGTGATAGCGATTGCAGTATGAGTCGTACGATTTTTGAATCAAGCACGGGCCATGACGGGCCATGCTGCTAGTATATATATATATATATATATATATATATATATATATATATATATATATATGATGCACAAGGTCACTCAGTAGAGGGTTACAGAGTAAGAGGCACAGTTTATGCGGGGAAGAGAACGGTTAACCCTAAGACTGTAGTGATCTAGAAAACATCCTCGTGGAAGTCGGTTCAGCAGAGCATCGATTCATGGGATAGAGCTGCTCGATTTGAACTTACACCTCACCAAAGGAATACGAAGGGGATGAAGGTGGTTCGCTACGTAGGTCGATGTGATACGTCAACAGACCCATGTGCATAAAAGAAAATATGGGGGAATGTATTGAATCCAGGTAAAAAGCCACAGGTAAAAAAAAAATCACAGGTAAAAAAATCCCACGTAAAATAGTCACAGGTAAAAAAGTCACATGTAAAAAGTCACAGGTAAGAAAGATCACAGGTAAGAAAGTCACAGGTAAAAATCCAATGTAAAATAGTCACAGGTAAAAAAATCACAGGTAAGAAAGTCACAGGTAAAAAAAATCCCAGTTAAAAAATTCCCATGGAAAATAGTCACAGATAAAAAGTCACAGGTAAGAAAGATCACAGGTAAGAAAGTCACAGGTTAAAAAAAAAAATCTCAGGTAAAATAATAAAAGGTAAAAAAAAAGTCACAGGTAAAAAGTCACAGGTAAAAAGTCACAAGAAAAAAGTCACGAAAAAAAGAAACAAAACAACGTTAGCAATATTTCTGTCTTTCTTTAATAGACATTTTAAAGCATAACCGTACGCTACACTCACCCTAAATATGTCAGAGTTGTTGCGGATTAACAATATTTGGATTTAGGGAAAAATAATGTTTTTAATGAAATTATTTTTATGCTCGTTGCCATGGAAATTATTGACAGTAATAGAGATTTACTAAGCGTTGCCTAGGTGTGTCACAAAGCCAATAGTATTAGGCACCCAGGAACGCTCGAACTCAATTCAGTTGTAATTGATCAAGCGAGACAAACTGGCGAACCATTACACCACATTGATTTAGTTTAAACGTTAGTTTAGTTGTGGCACAAGACCGAAAGAATGGGGCACCCGGTGAGGCTCGACCTCACTATTCAGTCGTAATTGATATAGCGGGACAAGCTAGTTAACCATTACACCACGTGCAGGTGCCCATTATTGGCAGTAACAAGCGTGGTTGAAATATCTGCTACAATGGGTTAATGCCTAGCAAACATGTCACTGCTAAAACCAAGTTGTGACTTTTTTTATCCTAGCCAAAATTGTGTTTTATTTCCTGTGACTTTATTACCATCCACGAATATGTTTCGATAGATGACTTATAAACATCATTACCCATACCGTATGTACATGTGCGAACAAATGTATGATTGATTGATTGACTGGTTTGTTTTTTACGGATTATCAACCCTTTTTGGGTTATTAAAAGCGGAAAAATATTTAGGATGTTTAAAATATATTTTTTGTTTTTTTTTGCGAGTGAATATTGTATCAACAGTTTTATTAGGAGATAAAAATGATTTTTTTAGAGACAAATACTACTATTTAACCCATAGCTGGGTGAATGGATCCATATGTTTCCCAAGAGCATTTGCACGTAAGTGAATGTAACGAGTTCGATTAGGAATTTGAACACGGCTCTCCGATTTCTCAGCCCGAGCCTCTATCCATTACACCAGCCATACACCCGTACGCATGTACGAAGATGAAAATCTGACCCACTGGCTAAACGTAAAAAAAAAAAAAAAATGGTCAGGCTGTGAACTTATCAGCAGACACTTTTGTGAAATGGTTTACCTGTTGGCGATTTTAAATAGGTATTGATAAATCGCTCATGGTCACCGTAAATAGTTCTGCACATTCCGGGCCAGGGTTTGCGAATAAACAGCATTCCTCGTTTGTCGTCTCCTTCAATTTCATGGCCCTGTGTTAATTAAAAAATAAAGTTTACATGAAGAAATAAATGCACCGTGAAAAGAAAAAAAGAGGATTATTTTTTCTTCCAACAAGTTTACATGACAATACAGTCAACAAATTTGCAAAGATTTAGCATTATTATTTTATTTCAATAAAATAAAGCATTATCAACGATTTTTATCATTGGTGAGAACGAGAGTGGGCTGAAAAATTCATAGGCTGATCATGAAGGAGTGATGCTAGAGTTGTGAAACCTTACATGCATTAATTTCAACTATTCTTATTAATAACTGCATTGTTTCTTTCCAGGTACGAGGGTGGACTGAAAAGTTCATAGGCTGATTATGAAGGAGTGATGCTAGAATTGTGAAACCTTACATGCATTAATTTCAACTATTCTTATTAATAACTGCATTGTTTCTTTCCAGGTACGAGGGTGGACTGAAAAGTTCATAGGCTGATTATGAAGTGGTGATGCTAGAATTGTGAAACCTTACATGCATTAATTTAAATTATTCTTATTAATAACTGCATTGTTTCTTTCCAGGTACGAGGGTGGACTGAAAAGTTCATTGGCTGATTATGAAGGAGTGATGCTAGAATTGTGAAACCTTACATGCATTAATTTCAACTATTCTTATTAATAACTGCATTGTTTCTTTCCAGGTACGAGGGTGGACTGAAAAGTTCATAGGCTGATTATGAAGTGGTGATGCTAGAATTGTGAAACCTTACATGCATTAATTTCAACTATTCTTATTAATAACTGCATTGTTTCTTTCCAGGTACGAGGGTGGACTGAAAAGTTCATTGGCTGATTATGAAGGAGTGATGCTAGAGTTGTGAAACCTTACATGCATTAATTTCAACTATTCTTATTAATAACTGCATTGTTTCTTTTTCCAGGTACTGAAAAGTTCGAGGGTGGACTGAAAAGTTCATAGGCTGATCATGAAGGAGTGATGCTAGAGTTGTGAAACCTTACATGCATTAATTTCAACTATTCTTATTAATAACTGCATTGTTTCTTTCCAGGTACGAGGGTGGACTGAAAAGTTCATAGGCTGATCATGAAGGAGTGATGCTAGAGTTGTGAAACCTTACATGCATTAATTTCAACTATTCTTATTAATAACTGCATTGTTTCTTTCCAGGTACGAGGGTGGACTGAAAAGTTCATAGGCTGATCATGAAGGAGTGATGCTAGAGTTGTGAAACCTTACATGCATTAATTTCAACTATTCTTATTAATAACTGCATTGTTTCTTTCCAGGTACGAGGGTGGACTGAAAAGTTCATAGGCTGATCATGAAGGAGTGATGCTAGAGTTGTGAAACCTTACATGCATTAATTTCAACTATTCTTATTAATAACTGCATTGTTTCTTTCCCAGGTACGAGGGTGGACTGAAAAGTTCATAGGCTGATCATGAAGGAGTGATGCTAGAGTTGTGAAACCTTACATGCATTAATTTCAACTATTCTTATTAATAACTGCATTGTTTCTTTCCAGGTACGAGGGTGGACTGAAAAGTTCATAGGCTGATCATGAAGGAGTGATGCTAGAGTTGTGAAACCTTACATGCATTAATTTCAACTATTCTTATTAATAACTGCATTGTTTCTTTCCAGGTACGAGGGTGGACTGAAAAGTTCATAGGCTGATCATGAAGAGGTGATGCTAGAGTTGTGAAACCTTACATGCATTAATTTCAACTATTCTTATTAATAACTGCATTGTTTCTTTCCAGGTACGAGGGTGGACTGAAAAGTTCATAGGCTGATCATGAAGGAGTGATGCTAGAGTTGTGAAACCTTACATGCATTAATTTCAACTATTCTTATTAATAACTGCATTGTTTCTTTCCAGGTACGAGGGTGGACTGAAAAGTTCATAGGCTGATCATGAAGGAGTGATGCTAGAGTTGTGAAACCTTACATGCATTAATTTCAACTATTCCTATTAATAACTGCATTGTTTCTTTCCAGGTACGAGTGTGGACTGAAAAGTTCATAGGCTGATTATGAAGTGGTGATGCTAGAGTTGTGAAACCTTACATGCATTAATTTCAACTATTCTTATTAATAACTGCATTGTTTCTTTCCAGGTACGAGGGTGGACTGAAAATTTCATAGGCTGATCATGAAGGAGTGATGCTAGAGTTGTGAAACCTTACATGCATTAATTTCAACTATTCTTATTAATAACTGCATTGTTTCTTTCCAGGTACGAGGGTGGACTGAAAAGTTCATAGGCTGATCATGAAGGAGTGATGCTAGAGTCGTGAAACCTTACATGCATTAATTTCAACTATTCTTATTAATAACTGCATTGTTTCTTTCCAGGTACGAGGGTGGACTGAAAAGTTCATAGGCTGATCATGAAGGAGTGATGCTAGAGTTGTGAAACATTACATGCATTAATTTCAACTATTCTTATTAATAACTGCAATGTTTCTTTACAGGTACGAGGGTGGACTGAAAAGTTCATAGGCTGATTATGAAGTGGTGATGTTAGAATTGTGAAACCTTACATGCATTAATTTCAATTATTCTTATTAATAACTGCATTGTTCCTTTCCAGGTACGAGGGTGGACTGAAAAGTTCATAGGCTGATCATGAAGAGGTGATGCCATAGTTGTGAAACCTTACATGCATTAATTTCAACTATTCTTATTAATAACTGCATTGTTTCTTTCCAGGTACGAGGGTGGACTGAAAAGTTCATAGGCTGATCATGAAGGAGTGATGCTAGAGTTGTGAAACCTTACATGCATTAATTTCAACTATTCTTATTAATAACTGCATTGTTTCTTTCCAGGTACGAGGGTGGACTGAAAAGTTCATAGGCTGATTATGAAGAGGTGATGCTAGAGTTGTGAAACCTTACATGCATTAATTTCAACTATTCTTATTAATAACTGCATTGTTTCTTTCCAGGTACGAGGGGTGGACTGAAAAGTTCATAGGCTGATTATGAAGAGGTGATGCTAGAGTTGTGAAACCTTACATGCATTAATTTCAACTATTCTTATTAATAACTGCATTGTTTCTTTCCCAGGTACGAGGGTGGACTGAAAAGTTCATAGGCTGATCATGAAGGAGTGATGCTAGAGTTGTGAAACCTTACATGCATTAATTTCAACTATTCTTATTAATAACTGCATTGTTTCTTTCCAGGTACGAGGGTGGACTGACAAGTTCATAGGCTGATCATGAAGGAGTGATGCTAGAGTTGTGAAACCTTACATGCATTAATTTCAACTATTCTTATTAATAACTGCATTGTTTCTTTCCAGGTACGAGGGTGGACTGAAAAGTTCATAGGCTGATCATGAAGGAGTGATGCTAGAGTTGTGAAACCTTACATGCATTAATTTCAACTATTCTTATTAATAACTGCATTGTTTCTTTCCAGGTACGAGGGTGGACTGAAAAGTTCATAGGCTGATTATGAAGAGGTGATGCTAGAGTTGTGAAACCTTACATGCATTAATTTCAACTATTCTTATTAATAACTGCATTGTTTCTTTCCAGGTACGAGGGTGGACTGAAAAGTTCATAGGCTGATCATGAAAGGTGCTGCTAGAGTTGTGAAACCTTACATGCATTAATTTCAACTATTCTTATTAATAACTGCATTGTTTCTTTCCAGGTACGAGGGTGGACTGAAAAGTTCATAGGCTGATCATGAAGGAGTGATGCTAGAGTTGTGAAACCTTACATGCATTAATTTCAACTATTCTTATTAATAACTGCATTGTTTCTTTCCAGGTACGAGGGTGGACTGAAAAGTTCATAGGCTGATCATGAAGGTGTGATGCTAGAGTTGTGAAACCTTACATGCATTAATTTCAACTATTCTTATTAATAACTGCATTGTTTCTTTCCAGGTACGAGGGTGGACTGAAAAGTTCATAGGCTGATTATGAATGGGTGATGCTAGAGTTGTGAAACTTTACATGCATTAATTTCAACTATTCTTATTAATAACTGCATTGTTTCTTTCCAGGTAAACTGATAGACTTCAAAAGTAACAAATAGTGATTCTTTTTTAAAATAAACAAGTATTTGGCATTGTAGAATTATCAATTACCTGCAGAAAAGTGTTTGACCACTGACATTAATGCTGACATGTTTGCTACATTAGGGGGTGGCGCTCCAGCTTTATCCGGTGGGCAAAAGTGGGCAGCTGGATTTAGGAGGAGCAGGAAGATTCTTGAAGATAACCCAATATCTGGAAGTCCTACGACTGCAACCACCGAGATACATATCGATCGTGTTCACCACAGAATGATGGACGACAAGCGATTGACTGTAAATCACAGAGCCTATGCTATATCCCGCGAGTGAGTTGAGAATATTCTGATCAATGAATATGGCATGTTTCTGCTCGTTGGGTGCCACGTCTTCTGACACCTGATTAATAGTGCACCATGCTGATCACATCACATCATTCTGATTTTTTGTTAAATGAAGCCGGCAAATCGGGTATTGCTGGCAATATCTGGGCTGGAGTTGCACCGTCCTCACTTTCCTGTTTTGATAGAGCTCTATGCAGTCTTCTGGGTGATTAATTATTTTCCACCCCATTTTTCCACAGCCGAAACGTCTCAAGCCTCTAGCTACCCTATAGTCAATGCCATGGCGAGAGTTCTGACGTGCTACATTCACTGGTTCCACCAGCCTTGAATTTTGATGCTGGAACCCGTCATATCACTACACACGGATAAATCATCCTCATTCCCTTCGTAATCCATTAGTAAGGAGTAAGTTCCACTCGAACAGACTCTTCCAAAGGACCGTTACTATTAATCACGCGTGAAAAATGATGAAGAAATTATAATGACCAATACGTCATTTCCGCTACTAATCACACGTAGAAAATGATGAAACCATTTGAGCAAAATCTCTTTACCTTGGCACCGATATCATTTTGGATGAGAACAGATACTACACATTGATCCCATTACAATGACCAGAGAATGATGAAAGGCGTAACTAGAGTAACACTGGCTACGCGGTCAATGAAGACTGATTTTTTGCTAACATTACCATCATCTTCTGTCTTAATTTCTGGAATGAGGAGTTATCATTATTGACATTATTTAGATATAAATAAAAAAAGATAAATGATACTTGACAGAAGCGGCTGCACTAATCAGCAGGCAGATTAGGTTTAACAATCCATGTTTACCATTGAGAATAACACATATCGCTCTAGTAACCTAGGCCACTCGTGTGGAGCAGGCGAGGAGTAGCTCATCAGCTCTGTTTGGCAACCTATCGAGAGATGATGGCTCGAATAACACATATCGCCCTGGTAGCCTGGGCCACTTGTATGGGATGGGGGAGGAGTAGCTCATCAGCTCTGTTTGGCAACCTATCGAGAGATGATGACTCGAATAACACATATCGCTCTAGTTGCCTAGGCCACTCGTGTGGGGCGGGCGAGGAGTAGCTCATCAGCTCTATTTGGCAACCTATCGAGAGATGATGGCTCGAATAACACATAACGCCCTGGTAGCCTGGGCCACTTGTATGGGATGGGCAAGGAGTAGCTCATCAGTTCTGTTTGGCGATCTATCGAGAGATGATGGCTCGAATAACACATATCGCTCTAGTAGCCTAGGCCACTCGTGTGGGGCGGGCGAGGAGTAGCTCATCAGCTCTGTTTGGCAACCTATCGAGAGATGATGGCTCGAATAACACATATCGCTCTAGTAGCCTAGGCCACTCGTGTGGGGCGGGCGAGGAGTAGCTCATCAGCTCTGTTTGGCAACCTATCGAGAGATGATGGCTCGAATAACACATAACGCCCTGGTAGCCTGGGCCACTTGTATGGGATGGGCAAGGAGTAGCTCATCAGTTCTGTTTGGCGATCTATCGAGAGATGATGGCTCGAATAACACATAACGCCCTGGTAGCCTGGGCCACTTGTATGGGATGGGCAAGGAGTAGCTCATCAGTTCTGTTTGGCGATCTATCGAGAGATGATGGCTCGAATAACACATATCGCTCTAGTAGCCTAGGCCACTCGTGTGGGGCGGGCGAGGAGTAGCTCATCAGCTCTGTTTGGCAATCTATCGCCCTGGAAGCCTGTGTCACTCGCGTGTGTGTGTGTGATGCGTAAAAAGAAATACAAAATTTATTATGTCTCATGAGTTACTGCAGGCCAAGATAGTGTTTACATTTTTAAACCGATTATTTATTGATGGAGACAATGGTAGCCATTTTTTTATCGTTGGCAGATGTTCGAGACACAGTAAGGTCCATATTTTAGTTTCTATATAATTATTTTTTTAATCGCTGTCTAAAATTCTTGAATGAGGACTTTATCATTTTCTACACTACGTATATTCGGAGTATTGTCCCCATCTTTATTGTTGTTATGTGAATAGACTGAGTAACTTCTCTATGTCCTGTGTCCCTTCAGGACGTAGGCGATGATGTCTCTCCACAATTTCCGGTCCTTTGTAGCTCTTAATAAATTTTGTCTTTTTGTTATCTCTCTTAAAACTTGTTCCGCTGTCCATTTACACAAGCTTGTCCTTAATCTATGTCCCTTCAGGACGTTGGTGATCATGGCTCTCCACAATTTCCCATCCGTTGTAGCTCTTAATAAATTTTGTCTTTTTGTTATCTCTCCTAAACCTTGTTTCGCGATCCATTTACACAAGCGTGTCCTTCTTCGTCTATATTCCTTCAAGACATTGGTGATCATGGCTCTCCACAATTTCCTGTCCTTTGTAGCACTTAATTAATTGTCTTTTTGTTATCTCTCCTAAAACTTGTTCCGCTATCCATTTACAAAAGCTTGTCCTTCTTCTATGTCCCTTCAGGACGTTGATCATGGCTCTCCACAATTTCCTGTCCTCTGTAGCTCTTAATTGTCTTTTTGTTATCTATACTAAACCTTGTTCCGCGATCCATTTACACAAGCGTGTCTTTCTTCGTCTATGTCCCTTCAGGACGTTGGTGACCATGGCTCTCCACAATTTCCCATACTTTGTAGCTCTTAATAAACTGTCTTTTATTATCTATCCTAAACCTTGTCCCGCTATCCATTTACAAAAGCTTGTCCTTCTTCGTCTATATTCCTTCAGGACATTGGTGATCATGGCTCTCCACAATTTTCTGTCCTCTGTAGCGTTTAATAAATTGTCTATTTCGTATTTCTCCTAAACCTTGTTCCGCTATCTATTTACACAAGCGTGTCTTTTTTCTTCTATGCCCCTTCAGGACGTTGATCATGGCTCTCTACAATTTCCTGTCCCTTGTTCCGCGATCCATCAGCCCGAATAACTTAAATAATGATACCGCATCCCAGAAATTCGGACAGAAATTATCGAATCCCTATGGACCCGATGGGATGCACCAATGGCAAGACGACAATACCAAAGATGAGGACAATAGTCCGAATATAAATAGTTTAAATAATTATTTTTATTCTTTAAATACAATTCGTAAGTAGATTATTAATCTATTAGATATTAAGACGGAGTTAAGTTTGGCACAAGGTTAGATTTATGGAGCATTTTGCAAAGAATGTGTTTAGTAGCTTGCGAGACAAGCACAGCTACAAGTGCCCTAGGTCTGGTGTCCGCAACCCACAGCACGGGTGCCACACGTGGCACGCCAAGGAATTTTCAATGGCACGCAGTCGCAAGTGACATCATAAAGTTCGAACCAATAACTACTACAACACAAAGAATATATTTAGCTGTTTCAATTTTAATATATACTAAACTATATATTACTATATAAAATATAGTTAATATATATGTGTGTGTGTGTGTGTGTGTGTGTGTGTGTGTGTGTGCAGATATGTAGAAAAATAGGAAAGAACACGTTAGATAAATAATCCGGGGTTCTTTAGTATTTTTGTTTTTATTTTTAATAAACAGTGCTCCATTAAGAAGTAGAGCTTAGATTATAATTATTTTTAAAAAATATGATTCCTTCGCTACATAAGAGTTTTCATGTTTCAAAAACGAGAGCCGAAACCCTCAATATAATTATTAAAATCAAATTGAATTAAAGTAACAAGCCCTGTTTCATCCTCAATCGAAAATTTAGGAATAAGCGATTTTGAAATTTATTTATCGTTATAAGCGTGTTCATTCGTTACTATGGAAACGGCTGGGGCGACCATTTTTATCCATATTCAATTTAATTTTAATAATTATATTGATGGTTTCGGCTCTCGTTTTTGAAACATGAGAATTCTTATGTAGCGAAGGAATCATATTTAAAAAAAAATTATTATAATATATATATATATATATATATGTCGTAGTTAACTCCTCCTTCACTCCGTTAACCCTTTCACCAGGGGTCTCTCTTCCCTGGCTATAAATAGCCGATGACCCTTCGCCTCATCCTCTTTTTTCCTTCAGGCCTGTGCACCAACACCTCGAGGTAAATTTCTCTTTTTTCTTGGGGATTTCAACTATCAACCTCGAAATGTAGACGCTAACAAGGGATAGCGTGGAAACACGCTAAGCACAATATTCACACACGCACACACATACAGAATATTCACACACGCACGCACATACAGAATATTCACACACACACGCACATACAGAATATTCACACACACACTTCATCCTTTGTACTGTTTCCATGTATTGTAACTTGTTATTAATATATATTTGTATATACATATATTATCGGTGTTGTGTTTTGTTTGCTTTGTTTGCCTTCTTCTTTGGACTTAATCAAAGTCCAACCTTTTTATGTAGTTGGGCTCGGCGGGCAGGAGTATCTGAACCTTGCGTTTTCTTCTAGGTCTGACTTCTATCAACAACATAACAGCCACGCCATGAACCCTCAACAAGTGGCAACCGCCATTCCCACTACAAGTGGTAACCACCACGGCCCACTACATATATATATATATATATATATATATATATATATATATATATATATAGTTTTTTATATATATAAAATATATTGTAGAACAGGTATATTGACCTTGACTTGTATAAAACTACGTATGCTGTTGTCACACTGAATGATTTTAAAATCCCAAGTAGGCACATAGTTAGCAAAAGGTTGCTGACCTCTGCCCTAGGTCCAACGAAGTTAATGGCCAACTTTTCTTGAGGGTTTCGTGTTAAATTACTTCACTCTCAATGATTAGTGAGATTAGCGCCCCAACTAAAAATAGTGCCATAATGTCCACCAAATATTAATTTAATATGGTAGAAACACACAGAACCACAAAATATCGTAGAACCATAGAATGGGTAAATAGGATTGTAGCATTATTACTTATCAAGAGAGACTTTAATGAAGACCTGACAAAGAATTAATGATCACTTACTGATCTGTCGATCAAACAAGGGTCGATTCCATAGAATGGTCTCATAGGCATGGCAGGGTGTATAGGGTCTCCACAATTCGAGGGACGGGGGGCGATAGCAATACCTCCTGTTTCTGAAATTTGATAAAGAAAAAATGATAATTTTCTAGAATATATGAATGTAATCCGAAAAATGCACATCAGACATACTTCATTTCCCCATGTCTCTTCAGATGTTTCGAGGTTTGTTCCCATCATCATCAGAAAAAAATAGTTAAATGTGACTACGTTTGAACGCGTTTTTTACTTTTTTACTACATTGTTTTTGTATGAATGATTCATGTAATTATAAATTATAATTGCACCTATAATTGAAATTAAAATAACTGATCCAACGTGCAACTTTCGGATAATAAGTGTGACATTTCTGTAATTATTGAACAATATAGTTCATGCCACATTGACGGAAAAACTATCAGTAAAAAAGAATTCTCTTATTACTATATTTGTACAAAAACGCACAACCTTAAAATTTAAAATTCAAACTCAGCGTTGCGACCGCACGTTTCAAAATAATAACACATTTCTCATAGCATTTTTTCTGATTACATCTCTATTTTCGTTGTCCTCTTATTACCGAGAAGTAAAGAACAAAATCTATTTCCATATACCTGAGGAAATCTGTAGGAACAGACGAAAGCTTGTAAAAAATTAAAAAGACCTTATGCAACTGGAATTTATAAACAGGGATCATATCATTCATATACAGGTTCGGGGTTAGTGTACCTTATTGAAATTGTTTGCGAAGATGTATTCTCGCCATTTAAATCATTAACCTCTATATTTGTTTTTTGTATGAATGATTCATGCAATTATATATATATATATATATATATAGAGAGAGAGAGAGAGAGGGAGAGAGAGAGGGGAGAGAGAGAGAGGAGGGAGAGGGAACATAGAACCCTTTATAGTTGTTAATCTGTCTGAATGGAATCTTTTTCATATGTTTAGATCACGGAGCGAAATGAGTGTACTGCGATTTTCTATAAAGAAACTGACGTATCCGATCCGTAAAGATGTGAACTAGCGGAACTAAAGAATGGAGCACATCTTAAACATTTGTTATGAGGCAAAATTTCACATTATGTATCTCGTATTTCAACTTTCGCTTTCTGATTTTAAAAATAAGTACCCCAATTTCATTCCTGTTTCCCGTCAAGCTATATCGATAATGTTGTAGGTGCATTACACGTGGTTCGCCAGACCCACGGCCCTAATCTGTTACGAGACCCGTGACGTAAGTAGTGATAAGATATGAAACTAGCAATCGAAATCTCGTAATGGACCGTGGCCATTTCCGTGTTTTGTTTAGTCAGCTCGGAGTTGAAAATTGTCTCTTCGAAGTATCGGACACTTAAAACAATGCGAGGCAATCATTGATAAATATTAATAAAATTGAATGCTTACCTGTCTGCCACCACGTATCAACAATGTCGCATCTATTCTCCCCAACGACTGTGTGGTACCATTCCCAGGCTTCGTGGTTTAGTGGTTCACCAACTGAACAGAAAAATGGATAAGAAAAGAAAGGAAGTAAATACATTTTGAAAAGGAAGAGAGAAAAAAAGAAGGAAAGGGAGAGAAATAAGAAAGAAGGAAAAGGAGAGAAATAAGAAATAGAAATAAAAAAAGAAGCAATGGCAGTGAAATAAGGAAAAGAAAAAGGCAGGGAAATAAAAAAGAAGAGAAATAAAAAATAGAAAAAAAAAAGAAGGAAAGGGAGAGAAAAAAGAAGGAAAAGAAGAGAAATAAAAAAGAAGGAAAGGGAGAGAAAAAAGAAGGAAAGGATGAGAAAAAAGAAGGAAAGGGAGAGAAATAAAAAAGAAGAAAAAGAAGAAATAAAAAGAAGAAAAGGGAGAGAAATAAAAAACGGAGGAAAGGGAGAGAAATAAAAAAGAAGGGAAGGGAGAGAAATAAAAAAGAAGGAAAGGATGAGAAAAAAGAAGGAAAGGGAGAGAAATAAAAAAGAAGGAAAAGAAGAAATAAAAAGAAGAAAAGGGAGAGAAATAAAAAACGGAGGAAAGGGAGAGAAAAAGAAGGAAAGGCAGAGAAATAAAAAAGAAGGAAAAGGAGAGAAAAAAGGGAAAAGGCAGAGAAATAAAAAAAGAGGAAAGGGGGAGAAATAAAAAGAAGGAAAGGGAGAGAAAAAAGAAGGAAAGGGGGAGAAATAAAAAAAGAAGGAAAGGGAGAGAAAAAAGAAGGAAAGGGAGAGAAATAAAAAAGAAAGAAAGGGAGAGAAAAAAAGAAGGAAAGGCAGAGAAACAAAAAAGAAGGAAAGGGAGAGAAATAAAAAAGAAGGGAAGGAAAAGAAATAAAAAAGAAGGAAAGGAAGAGAAAAAAGAAGGAAAAGAAGAGAAATAAAAAAGAAGGAAAAGGAGAGAAAAAAGGAGGAAAGGCAGAGAAATAAAAAAAGAGGAAAGGGGGAGAAATAAAAAAAGAAGGAAAGGGAGAGAAAAAAGAAGGAAAGGGAGAGAAATAAAAAAGAAGGAAAGAGAGAGAAAAAAGAAGGAAAGGCAGAGAAACAAAAAAAAGGAAAGGGAGAGAAATAAAAAAGAAGGAAAGGGAGAGAAATAAAAAAGAAGGAAACAGTGAGATAAAAAGAAAGAAACGGAGAAAAATAAAAACGAAGGAAAGGGAGAGAAAAAAGAAGGAAAAGAAGAGAAATGAAAAGGAAGCAAAGGCAGGGAAATAAAAAAGGAGGAAAGGGAGAGAAATAAAAAAGAAGGAAAGGGACATATATATATATATATATATATATATATATATATATATATATAATTTATTCGAAAGTTATAACATAAATATGTTATAAAATCACTACAAAAATAGCCATTTTGTTTCAACACTTTTGGTATCTTATCAAGTGATGGTGGTGAACACAATCACTTGATAAGACACCAGATATTTTGAAACAAAATGGCTATTTTTGTAGTGATTTTAAAACATATTTATGTTATAATCTTCGAATAAATGATTATATTTGCTCTACTCTATATTGAGCACACTTTTAAGAATAGTATTTTTTGGTTATTGGAAGTTATTCCGTATACACTAATACTATACTTGTATATATATATATATATATATATATATATATATATATATATATATATATACTTACCACTTCCAAGAATCCTGAGCGAAGACCTGTCGTATTTTCTAACGTGGGCGTCGCCCGATTTCAAAAGCAATCGAATCGCTGTCGGTGCCAGGTAAAGGTGATTGATTTTTAACCTCTCAACTGTTTCCCAATATCGACCTTTGGAAGAAGAAGAAAAAAAGAAAAAGATTTCAGTAAAATTTCGTCAATGCAGCTTCCTTGTTATAATATTAATAGAAGACTAAAATAAAAATATGACTTATTAGCAAGTTATAGTTAGATCATGGCTCTCCACAATTACCTGCCCTTCATAGTTCTTAATAAATTTTGCCTACCATTCGTCCTTGCATTGAATACTGTAGCCATATTTGGTCTGGTGCTCCCGCTGTTCATCCTGAGGTTCTCGACAAAATCCAAAGACGGATATGCAATGTGATAGGTCCTGACCTGGCATCTCGACTCCAGTCACTTTCTCATAGACGTGATGTGGCTTCCCTCTGTCCTTTCTACAAATATTTCCATGGCAACTGCTCCTCTGACGAGTTATTTTACCTGGTGCCCCAAATGTATGAATTTAAGCGTTCTACTAGGTTGGCATCTAGGTCCCACCCTTTTACAAAACAGTTCAATGTAACTGCCTCTTTTGCTCCAACAGCTTCTTCGCTCGCTCTTCCTGACAGTGGAACTCCCTTCCTCTTGTTTCCCTGATATCTATGATCTTCAAAAATTTAAATATAATGCCAGTCTTCTGATACCTTGATCTTGATCCCCGATCTTCTCTTTATCCTTTCCTCAAGCACCCCTCTTTTCTCCTTACTTTCACTCTATAAACCCTTGCGTGCTAGTGGCACTCTCGCCTTGCTCGCAGTGAAATGCTTAAAAAAAAATAAATGTAGCCAATTCAACTGTAACTTTATAAGACCTTTTTGCCAATCTAGTGTTGTGATTAAATTCTTACCGTCTAGGTACCATATCAAAAAAGCTTATCAGAACAGTAGCCATGACAATATTTATAGAAAAGGCACAGGGAAGCAATTTTACTGGGGTGGGGAAGTGTCTGAAGTCGAGATGTCAGATCAAGACCAAGGCCATACTATTCTCTGGTTGTCCGGCATAGCAATCGATGCCTGTGAACCTAAACACTGTAAAGAAAGGTCGCACAAAGGTTCTTTGTTTCCGAAAATAAGTTTCAGAGCCATGCTTGGGAAAAAGTATCAGAGACAGAATCAAAATGGCTGCCATATGGAAAAAGCTAGATATGAGAACATGCATAATTACCTTGAAAGGAGGCTAAACTGGTTTGGCCATTTAACCAGGATAGATTGCAGGAAAGAGTGTGGGGGGGGGGGAGAAAAACGCACGCCACATACTTTATGGGTTTGAGTAAATGGATAGCAAAACAGGGTTTGGGAGAAATATCAAAAATAAATTAATGAAATTACTCCTTGTCAGAAGTCAGGAACGGCTTCGTCTTAAGTTCGAGAAATCAAAACTCACCAGGGTCGGGGTAGGTGGGAGTACTCTCAAACAATAGCGTGGTGGCCCCATTGCACAGAGGGCCGTATACAACATAGCTGTGTCCTGTAATCCAACCAACATCAGCGACACAGCCAAAGATTTCCCCTTCACGGTAATCGAAGACATGCTAAAAAAAAAAAAAAAAAAATAATAATCAGCCAATGAAAATCTTTAAAGAAAAGAAAAAGAAACATAAAAATTACAAAATTTATTTAACTGTTTAATTTATTTAACTATTGTCCTTATCTTTATTCTTGTTATCGCGATGTTTCAGTCATTGTACCCTCCGGCCTTCATCAGGGGTATATCAATCTGGGTAACCTACAGAGAATTCTGAACTGAATCCTTTATTTAATCAACGGAGTAGACTGTTCCCATTCCACTGTCTATGTCGAGGGATATCTCGTTTAGTTCTTATTGTCTAGCACTGTCCAGTTACTGTTCGCTCGTTTCCACTGACTGCAAGTACACACTGCCCGATCCAGGAATTGAACTCACAATTACTATCTCACCAAATTCAGGAACCAATATTTTAACTCACTACTGGACTATTGCCTAGTGGGTTAAAGTGTAACACACACATCCATTGCTTGGTCAGCTGCTAAGAAAGTTGTTTTACTGACTCGTGCTAGACAATTTTTCTCTTCAGAATCTATCTTACATATCTATAAGTCTACCATTCGTTCATGCTTAGAATATTGAGGCCACATATAGCCCGGTGCTCCTGCTATATATCTAGCGATACTTGATAAAATCCAAAGAAGAATCAGCAATATTATTGGTCCTGATCTGGCGTCCTGGTTTCAATCACTTTCCGTCCTCTGCGTGTGTACGGGGTATGATGGATAAATTGTCGTATAAATTACGCAAAAATGAAAATAAGACATCTCATTTTAGCAGATATATTTAGTAAAATTAAACAAAAATATCTTGAAATACTAAAGAGTAAATTTATTTAATAAAGTCGCCATTGACTACAACCACGGCCTCCAGTCGACTTCGGAATCTCCTGCAACTCTTCTGGACGGTCTCCTTTTTAAGTTGGTGAATGCTGCCTTAGTCCTTGCCTTCAGTTCATCTTTGGTATTGTAAGATGTTTTGTTGGGCTCTCGTACAAGTGCGTCTCGCACATAATAATCAAGGGAGTTGCAGTCTGGGGAGTTATATAAGGGGGTGATGTAGTTGTAGAAATTGTCAGACATCCATGACTGGGTTCTCCTGCTTGTGAGGCATGGGGCAGATTCCTTTTGCCAGTAGGGTTTTCCAGCAGCTACCCTTCTGACCCAGGGCAGCATTACCTCTCCAAGGACCTTGATGCAGGCCTCCGCGTTGGGTCTGAAGCCCTGTGGGAATATGAGGCATAACGTCGCCATCATTAGTGATCACACCAAAGACCATGTTGTTGACTGGATATTTGCTTTTCATTACTTTCGATACATCTTTTGGAAGATACAACATCCTCTACATTGTTCTCAGATTGACACCCAAATACTGAAATGTTCGTAATGGAGCTTCAGACACTAAAGCTAAGAATACCAAGAATGCCGTTTCCAAATTCCTGGCGGAGTGAATTACGTCATAGTGTCCTTTTTCTGGCATACGGTTCCCAACTGACTCTACTATACTGTGTAGCCGACAAAATAAAAAACAAACAACGCTCATACGCGAAATTAAAAATATAAAATGACGACAATTTATCCATCGTACCCTCATAGTTCAGATACAGTTATTCGCTTAAACATGTTTTATCAGGTAGAACGGACATGGTATTACTGTAACTCTGTTTTGTTTTGAACTTTTTTTACTGAAAGGTATTTTGGAGATGACCTATTTATTAAACAGTTCAGAAAAAAAAACGCTTAGGTTTATAACAAGTGTTTGTCATTGCTGTGTTAAAAAAATGACCATAGAATCATTTTACTCTCCGTTAAATTGGATTGAATTGACAACACAAAAAGTAAAACTAAAAAGACTTTCCACCAGACCCCTAAAGCCGGGAAGATAACCTGTCGATGTGTTAAGTGTAATCTTAGATAGTACGCTGTTTAGACGAAGTAAAAATGATTTCAATTCATTGATTGAAATTTCAGAGCAAACTTAAAAGACATGAAAATTAGGCGCATTTTATCCCACTCTACACTGGCGACAGGACCAGTTGCAAGCACAATGAGATTATCGCCTTCCCCCAAGTTCATCAAGCTGAAAGCAATCCCAAACATATTCTAGTCCAGTTCTGTTTCTTAGGCTAATAATTTCTACGTCATCTCGCTCTAAAATGTCTATTTTGGGCAATGACGGGTGTCTGCGTTAGTACATATGGCTATGTTATACACACAGCTCTATTATATCTTACCAACTGCGCAGTGATGAGAGGGAAAAGATCATTCAGGCCTTTAGTAATGATAACAACATTCATACTCTGGCTTTCATCTTCAAAGTTCATTCAAGAATCATCAAAAGAATTATGAATAAATTTTAAAAAAGAGGGAACAGTAGAGAGGGAATCTGGATCAGGAGGTCACAACAGGAAGAGGGATCATCATTTCAAATTAGAGCTAAATGCCTTCTTATTGTTTATTCAAGAACCATCAAGAGAATGGTGAATAAGTTTTAAAAAAGAGGGAACAGTAGAGAGGAAAACTGGATGAGGAGGCCACAACAGGAAGAGGGATTATCATTTCAAATTAGAGCTAAATGCCTTCTTATTGATTATTCAAGAACCATCAAGAGAATGGTGAATAAGTTTTAAAAAAGAGGAACAGTAGAGAGGAAAACTGGATGAGGAGGTCACAACAGGAAGAGGGATCATCATTTCAACTTAGAGCTAAATGCATTCTTATTGTTTATTCAAGAACCATCAAGAGAATGGTGAATAAGTTTTAAAAAAGAGGGAACAGTAGAGAGGAAAACTGGATGAGGAGGTCACAACAGGAAGAGGGATCATCATTTCAAATTAGAGCTAAATGCATTCTTATTGTTTATTCAAGAACCATCAAGAGAATGGGGAATAAGTTTTAAAAAGAGGGAACTGTAGAGAGGAAAACTGGATGAGGAGGCCACAACAGGAAGAGGGATCATCATTACAAATTAGAGCTAAATGCATTCTTATTGTTTATTCAAGAACCATCAAGAGAATGGTGAATAAGTTTTAAAAAAGAGGGAACTGTAGAGAGGAAAACTGGATGAGGAGGTCACAACAGGAAGAGGGATCATCATTTCAAATTAGAGCTAAATGCATTCTTATTGTTTATTCAAGAACCATCAAGAGAATGGTGAATAAGTTTTCAAAAAGAGTGAACAGTAGAGAGGAAAACTGGATGAGGAGGTCACAACAGGAAGAGGGATCATCATTTCAAATTAGAGCTAAATGCATTCTTATTGTTTATTCAAGAACCATCAAGAGAATGGTGAATAAGTTTTCAAAAAGAGGGAACTGTAGAGAGGAAAACTGGATCAGGAGGTCACAACAGGAAGAGGGATCATCATTTCAAATTAGAGCTAAATACATTCTTATTGTTTATTCAAGAACCATCAAGAGAATGGTGAATAAGTTTTAAAAAAGAGTGAACAGTAGAGAGGGAATCTGGATCAGGAGGTCACAACAGGAAGAGGGATCATCATTTCAAATTAGAGCTAAATGCATTCTTATTGTTTATTCAAGAACCATCAAGAGAATGGTGAATAAGTTTTCAAAAAGAGGGAACTGTAGAGAGGAAAACTGGATGAGGAGGCCACAACAGGAAGAGGGATCATCATTTCAAATTAGAGCTAAATACATTCTTATTGTTTATTCAAGAACCATCAAGAGAATGGTGAATAAGTTTTAAAAAAGAGTGAACAGTAGAGAGGGAATATGGATCAGGAGGCCACAACAGGAAGAGGGATCATCATTTCAAATTAGAGCTAAATGCATTCTTATTGTTTATTCAAGAACCATCAAGAGAATGGTGAATAAGTTTTAAAAAAAGGAACTGTAGAGAGGAAAACTGGATGAGGAGGCCACAACAGGAAGAGGGATCATCATTTCAAATTAGAGAACTAAATGCATTCTTATTGTTTATTCAAGAACCATCAAGAGAATGGTGAATAAGTTTTAAAAAAGAGGAACAGTAGAGAGGAAAAACTGGATGAGGAGGTCACAACAGGAAGAGGGATCATCATTTCAAATTAGAGCTAAATGCATTCTTATTGTTTATTCAAGAACCATCAAGAGAATGGTGAATAAGTTTTTTTAAAAAGAGGGAACAGTAGAGAGGAAAACTGGATGAGGAGGTCACAACAGGAAGAGGGATCATCATTTCAAATTAGAGCTAAATGCATTCTTATTGTTTATTCAAGAACCATCAAGAGAATGGTGAATAAGTTTTAAAAAAGAGGGAACAGTAGAGAGGAAAACTGGAAGGAGGTCACAACAGGAAGAGGATCATCATTTCAACAGGTTTATTCAAGAACCATCAAGAGAATGGTGAATAAGTTTTAAAAAGAGGGAACAGGGAGAGGAAAACTCATCATTTTCAAATTAGAGCTAAATGCCTTCTTATTGTTTATTCAAGAACCATCAAGAGAATGGTGAATAAGTTTTAAAAAAAGGGAACAGTAGAGAGGAAAACTGGATGAGGAGGTCACAACAGGAAGAGGGATCATCATTTCAAATTAGAGCTAAATGCATTCTTATTGTTTATTCAAGAACCATCAAGAGAATGGTGAATAAGTTTTAAAAAAGAGGGAACAGTAGAGAGGAAAACTGGATGAGGAGGTCACAACAGGAAGAGGGATCATCATTTCAAATTAGAGCTAAATGCATTCTTATTGTTTATTCAAGAACCATCAAGAGAATGGTGAATAAGTTTTAAAAAAGAGGGAACAGTAGAGAGGAAAACTGGATGAGGAGGTCACAACAGGAAGAGGGATCATCATTTCAACTTAGAGCTAAATGCCTTCTTATTGTTTATTCAAGAACCATCAAGAGAATGGTGAATAAGTTTTAAAAAGAGGGAACAGTAGAGAGGAAAACTGGATGAGGAGGTCACAACAGGAAGAGGGATCATCATTTCAAATTAGAGCTAAATGCATTCTTATTGTTTATTCAAGAACCATCAAGAGAATGGTGAATAAGTTTTAAAAAAG